GAGTCACGGGTAGGTACAGGGTAGGATCCAGGTCACTATGTCTAACTGAACCCAGTCAGGAGCTGTATCTGATGAAACAGGCACTCATCCTAGAATTGGGGATGAGATAATCCTATTCAGGCAATGGGTGTAGCAGACAGAATAATTCCCACTTCCATAGATGTGCACGTGCTAGTGATACTGAGCAAAAAGGAGGGGGGTGGCCTCACCTGAGGTGTTACCCCTGTAGGACTCAAAGGTGACACAGTGTAAAATGATAATAGCTAACAGCATTTATTTACACAAGGGTTGAGAAAAGGGGAGAAAGAAAGGGAGATTTTATAGGCTGGAGTATGGCCAGATGCCCTCTGTCCTGCCCCAGATAGCATCCACTGAGCAGAGACCAAGGTCCAAGCCAAAGCCATAGATGGAAAGCTGGCAGCACCTTTCATTAACATTATAAGGAAAGATCACTGAATGAAATGATTTCACGGACTTGTCTACACACTTTTGCACCTTCATTTTGTCCTGGGGGTTGGTTGAAAGCAACCAGAATGCTGGCTGCTACCTACCACTGGTGGATCATTTCCCTACAGTCCCTTTGGATCTAAGGGCTCTTCTGGGCCTCTCTGCACCTCCCAGCATGGCCCATACATCCATGCAGTGGCAGGCTATGCCAAGTGGGATTGGGGTGATGTATTCAGGGGGTGGTGATGATGGCCTGCAGGATGTCTGCTCCTCCCCAGGCCCAGGGCAAACAGTGGACAAGCCCATGTGCAGACACCATGGACCCCAGAGGGATTCCAATGAGCCAACAAAGCCTTTGGCCGGTTGCCTGTGTGCTTTCTCCAGTTTTCCCAAGAAGGGTGCCAAGCTGGGTGCTTTACAGTCCCCAGAACACAATGAGTGGCTATCATCTGGGGGATTTACCCAGCCTGCTTGCAGAGTTGCCTGGTTCCAGTAAGCTTTGTATAATTTACTCGGTTTCTTAATGTGCCTTATATTTCAAAAGCTTATTTGCTGGCTGTTTCCTTTCTGAAGATGTTAATGGGCACAGAGCACATTCATCCCGAAGGGATGAGTCACTGGGAGCCTGGCGAGGGTGGTAACCCAGCTAAACGCTCCATTTAAAACCTGTGGCTACTCGGAAATTAATTCAAAATGGGTCAAAGACTTGGATGCAAGACCTGAAACCATGAAGTACACAGAAGAAAACAGAGCCCACGTCATGACACGGCTTCAGTGGTGTCTCTGAAGACTCATTTACAACAGCAAGAGAAACAAATCAGAAATAAACAAACGGGACTAAATTAAATGAAAAGGCTTCACGTGGTACAAGAAACTTGTATCAGAATTAAAATACATGGTGGTGGGTGTGGTCCCACAGATCTGAAGGGTCTGACCCTATACCCTACACCCCTAAATCATATACAATGTTGTAAATCCATTTTACCTCAATTTTTTAAAAACTTATGAGTGGGAGATTATATTTGCACGTCATGCATCTGACAAGGGGCAGATACCCAAGATCTACAAAGAACTCAGTCTACGCGACCAAAAGAAAGTAAAACCAATGAAAGAAAGAACCCAATTAAAAAACTGGGCAGGAGGGCCTCTCTGGTGGTGCAAGGAGTTGAACATCGCACTATGAAGCAATCCCCAGCCACTGCAGCACGAGTTTGATCCCTGGCCGGCCAGGGAGCTACCCACATGGTACTGCAGACCTCGCCTGTCTCTCCCGCTGCTCCCCTCAGCCTGTTCTGTTCCCCACTCTGGTGAATCCTCTCACCCCCATATCTCTGGCCTGTACCCCAGCTCTTGTATGCATAAATAAATAAATCTTTAAAAAAAAAACTGGGCAGGAGAGTTAAATAGCCACCTTTCCAGTGAAGACAAGCAGCTGGTCAAGATGGACAAGAGGAGCATGAAGAAACTCATCATCGGGGACATGCAAATCAAACCACCACAAGATACCACCTCACACCTGTGAGACCGGCCTTTCTCAAAAAGACCAGGAACAGCAAGGTTGGTGAGGATGTGTAAAATAGTGTAAAATAGTCCAGCATTGAAAGAACCTTAGCAGCCGTCTAAGGGAAGGGAAGTTTCATAAACAGCCCCGGCTGGCTGTGGAGGCCCTCCTGCCCGGAGTTGGGGGGGAGGCGGGGTGGGGAGCTTCATCCCACAGCTACTCTTAGTTTTGCAGACTAACTCACTTTCCAAAAGGGGGCAAGATGCCTTCCTCACCCCTCCCTAGCCCTTGGCCCCAAAACCGACATCTACTTAGCAAAGACAGAGGGATAAAGCTTCTTTCTTCTACTGTGCAAACTTCAGTTCTAGAAACGTTATAAAATTGGTTGCCTGGGTCACACAGCCACCTTTTAAACCAGTTACTATTGTCAAATCTGTAACAGTCTGTTGTCAATCAAATGGAATGCCCAGCTGGCCAGGCCAGGCTGACCAGCCCACGTCCAAGGCTAGGGGTTGTGCGTGTATAAAAGGCGGGAGGGGATAGCAGTGGGACAGACTTGGTCAATAAAGACCAGCTTCTCTAATTTCTGTCCCCACTTCCAGCTTAGAACCCACCAAGGAAGACTGTGTTCCCTAAACAATGGCATTGCGCCCACCCCCAGTCAGCGCACCTCCCTATCCCCTGGCCAGCTACTCCTCACCAGGCATTCCTGAACCTCCCTTTGAGTCTCTGCCAAGTGAAAGTGGTGGCAGCAATTCATATACTCCTGCCAGCGCAGAATTGCAGGCCTGCTCTCCCTGGGTGGTCTCCATTTATGCACCCAGTCCACACACACACACACACACACACACACACACACACACACAGAGAGAGAGAGAGAGAGAGAGAGAGAGAGAGGTTTCCACTTGAGGAAAGGAGGGTAATAGCCAGGCCCTGGAGGGAAGGAGGGGCCGGTCCTCTTCAGCGCTGAAGTCAGAGCACCCCCAAGCTGGGGCTGCCGCCCACCTGTGCCAGGGCATAGTAGCTGGGGGGGGGCGGGGGGGGACAGTTCCCTTTGGCTGATGACAACCTCATCCTTTTCTCCTCTGAGGGATGAGGGACATAAAGGTGGAATGGGAGTATGTGAGTGACTGCTGCGGGGGTGACTTTGAATCTGCTCTGATTTTTTAGCAAAGCTTGTACTCTTAATCTTTGGGGCCAATCAGTCCCTTCTGGACAGCTCCCCCGGCCAGCGTTCTCTGGGCAGGGCTCTCAGACTTCCCCAGGAAGGAATTCCTGACCATGGCAGACAGAGCGCCAGTCTCTCCTCTCGCAGAGGGGAGCGGAGGTGAGGGAAGAACAAATAAAATAGTAACAGCGCCCCTGGCAAGGCCCATTAAACACTGCCTGCGCCCCGCTGAGGCCAAGGGCTTTCCCCTCCATTTTCTCATTGAATTTCTGCAACAGTCTTGGTTCCCAGGACTCGGGCTCCGGAGCATGTGGTTCTGAGTTCTGGTTCGGGATGAGGTCTGGCTTTTTAATATTCAGTTTCTCGAGGAATCAGCCTGAGGGCTGTCAGTATCTTGAGTTGGGGAGCAGGGGTGTGAGTAGAACTTGTTGGACAAAATGAAAGCTTAGCTTTGACATGGGCTTATTCAGCTGTTAAACACAAGACAAAGACCCAAAATGGAGTCATTCATGCGAATCCCCACACAGTCAAACCTGACTGAATGGCCATTCCGGCTCCCCCAGAAATGATTCAAATCAAATGATCAGGAATTGTGCCATCAGCACCAGTGGGGTAATTCACCACACAGATCCCTCCCTTCCCTAAAGGAAATGAACCTTGCGTAACCAATCGGCTCTTTGGCTTAGTGCGGCTTCCTTGCTTCTGCTTACTAAAGGCTTTCCTTCCCCACAGTTCCTCCAAGATGCTTTCTGTCTGCCAGATCACATGCTGCGCAATTCACAAATAGTTGCGTAAAGTCAATTAGATCTTCAAAATTGACTCCATTGAATTTTTGCTTTTTAATACAACCAGTAAAACAATTTTATGCAAGTTAATTTATTGCAATACTTTACATAATAGATGATGGGTCTTTGGATGGGTACCGCTAATCCAGTGTCTTAGTTATCTTACTAGACAGAAATGGAAGCTTCTTCTATTAGAAGGAGTCCCTGGCGACTGGAGGCCAGGGCGGCCACGGAGGGGCGAGGGCGGAGAGAGGAGGCGAGAGAAGGGTGAGGGAGGCCAGAGGCCAAGGGGCGGGGGTGATGACAGGTGCTCGGCCCAGTCCTTGGGAGTGGGGGTGTCAGATCTTAAGGGAACACTCAGGGGCCAAGAGGAGGGAAAAGATCCACCAGAAATAAGGGCACTTGAGGCTAAAGGAATTCAGAGCTGGGATCCCCAGGCTCAGCGGAAGGAAATAGGGGGTGGGGGAGGCTGGTTCGGACTCGGGGCCCGCCCCACCCCAGCACCTAATCAGACCCATTGCAGACGTGTTTAGCGTTTATCTTTCTGCTCTTTACAAAACGCGAAGCGGAGAGACATCCCAAAGGAAGAGATTTGAAGTGGGAAGAACACAGCGGGTCTTCGGGGCGGGGGGTGGGGGGGTTTCCCGCGCGCAGCGCCGCGGCCAGTTGTCCACGACAGGCGCCCCGAGGCCCCCGAGGCCGCAGCCTCCAGGCGGGGTGCTCGCGGCTCTCTGGGAGGCTGGGGGTGGGGGGCGCAGCGCGGAGGGGACGCGGGCGGCGGGGCGCCGTGGGGCTCCGCGCGTCCCGGCTCTCGGGCCCGGGCGCGCCCCCCCCCCCCCCCCGCGCAGGCGCCGAGCCGTTGGCCGCGGGCGGTCGCGAGCGCAGCGGTTTGCAGGCGGCGCCGCGGAGGAGCCGGGGCCGGCGGAGTCCCGGTAAGCCCGGCCGGCCCGAGCAGCCGCCCCGGGGCGCGGGCTCGAGGGGGAGGGCGCGGCCGGGTCCAGCCCCAGGCCGACTCCGCGCGCCGGGGAAACCGAGCCCGACGTGCGCCCCGGGAAGACCCGAGCCCTGGCGCGGCGCCAGCCCCCTCCCAGCCCGCCGCCCCGCCCGGGTCGGGCACTGGGGTGCGCGCGGACACTGCGGCCCGACGGCCGCCGGCGAGGGGGGGACGTGGGCTCTGGTCCGGGGCCCCCTTCCCGGAGCCCGGCAGCTGCCCGGGGCTGGGCGGGGATCCCTCGAGGCCCGAGCGGGAGTGGGTGGGCGGCCACTCCCGGCTGGGGCTCCTCGTGCAAAGTTCAGCGCCCGTCGCCCCAACCCCAACCTTCGGTCTCAGGCGCAGGCCCAGGCTGTAAACCCTGCGGGAGTGGACGCGGGACCTCGCCCCAGCCCCAGCCGCAGCCGCAGCCCCAGCCCCAGCCCCAGCCCCAGGCGCGCGGGGTCCAGGCTGCTTGGAGCGACGCTTCCTCCTGCCGCCGCCAGGCCCGGTCGACATGAACCCGGTGGTGCTGGTGCACGGCGGCGGGGCCGGCAACATCTCCCATGACCGGATCGAGCGGGTGCGCCAGGGCATGATGAAGGCCGCCACCGTGGGGTACACCCTCCTGCAGGAGGGGTGCAGCGCCGTGGACGCCGTGGAAGCGGCCGTGGTGATCCTGGAAGACAGCCCCGAGTTCAACGCAGGTACCTCTGCCCGGGACTGGGCCGGATGCCAGAGCGGGTTAACCCCCGGCCAAGTAAACAGAACCTTTCTAAAGTGCGGATGAGGCCAGTCAGCTCTTTGTCTTGGTATCTATGGGTGCGTGGCTTTCAGAGTTTTTAAATCTATCACTTCATTTTTTTTTCTTTACCCTGCTGCTTAGAATTCTCCTGCCAAGAGGTTTCTTTATTATGTCCTTTTGTGAGGGGTGCCGGCTATCATATGCCACAAATGGTACCTATTTTAAGTTTTGAGGAATGTGTTTAACCTCGCCATAACCAAGATTTAAAACATTTCCTTCACCCCTGAAAATTCCTTCATGCAGTTAATCCACCCTCCGTCCCCAGCTCCAGCTGATCTGTCCTGTCACTATAGATTATTTTGCATTTTCTAGAACGTCGTGTAAATGTTGTCATGCAGTGTATTTTGAGTATTTCTTTCACTCACTGACTTTTTTTAGAATAATAATCATCATGTTCGCTATGAACGACTAGTCTGCCACAGCAATGATCTAAGAAATTAACATGATTAAATAATTTAATCTGCACTATAGTCCTATGAGTTAGTATAATTATTATGCTCATTTCTCAGATGAGAAAACTAAGGCACAAATAGGTTAAATGACTTTCAGGAAGACATTCATGTCCTCTTTATTTTAAAATAGAAAACCTGAAATCTAGGGATTAAAGTATTCAGAATTACACCACCCGCCCAACCTCTGTAAAGGGGAAAAATTTCAGGGAATCTTAACCAATTAATCATCAAATATTTGCTGAATATTATGTTCTGTCCTCTTGGCTCTGCTAAGCATCCTTTAACATTTACATAAATCTCCCTAAGTCTGATGTAGAATGAGCTTAACTGCTTTTTTATGGCTATGTTGGGCCAGAATTTACCATCTGGGTACCGACCTTTCCAGCAGGGGGAGCTGCACTCTGCTTCAGTGGGGAACTGGTTCCACTATAGGCCTGTCAGCTGTCTTGGCTGATCAGCCCCCACTTATTCACACAGGACCTTTGTTTGGAGCAGGTGGGTTCTGGCCCCCCACACTCTCTGACCTAAGGGCATCCATCATCTGCAGGAACTGATGGGGGCGGGGGCGGTGGTGGTAAGGGTTAGGGAACTGGAGAGATAGCTGTTGCTTCTTTGTTCTATTCCCCAATCTTTCCTTCTGAGGGTTTCTCATCTAACTCCCCAGATGTCTGCTCTTCAGCACTGAGGGAGTAAAGGGTTTTCTTTTAAACAACAAGGCACCCATGTCACCTGTATGACTTTGAATCAATTTCAGTAACAGGACAAGAGATCAAATATTTAAAGAAAAGATACCAGTATTCTTCTCCTTAGGTAACTCCAGGCTGTGAGCTAAGAACCATGGACAAAGACCAAAATACATGTTTATTATAAATGATCACATAATCACAGTATTACAACTCCTTTGTCAAAGGTCACTTTACTGTGTTTTTGTGAGTCTGTTTCTGAGCTCTCTTTTGTTCCCTTAATTCTATTTGTCTACCCTGTCATCAGTACCACACTGTCTTGATTACTATGCTGATATCTAGCCATTGTACCTACAAAGAGTTTTATCTCTTCTTTTCCAATTGTTATGCGTTTTCTTTTACTTGCCTTATTGCATTGGCTAGACCAATATTATGTTCCTGAGAATTTTTTATCATGTATGGATATTGGATTTTATCAAATTCTTTTTCTCACCATATGGTTTTTCTTTGTTGATATGGTGAACACTGGTTAGTTTTTTAATCTTGAACCACATTTATATGCCTGGGGTTAACGCCAATATCTTGCGATATGTTATCTTTCTTTGTTTATTGCTGGGTTTGGTTTTATAGCGTTTTCTTGAGGATTTTGGTCAAGAAGAATACTCATCTGTGGCTTTATCTTCTTAAGACATTTGTCTGGTTTTGTTCTGAGCGTAATGCTGCCTTTCTATTTTGGAAAGTATTCCTCCCCTTCTGTTTTTCTTAAATTGTATAAAGTTGTATTATTTCTTTGTAACTGTTTGGTAGAATTCTTCAGTGAAGCCATCTTTCACTTGATTCATTTTATGCTTTATAGTTAAAGTTTTTCATATGCAGAATACAGTTGTGTCTTACCTTTTTGCAATTTGGCAATCTCTGCTTTTTTTAAGTGTTTAAAACATTTGTATTTAATATAATCATTGATGAAGTTAGGCATGGATCTGTCATCTTGCTAATGTTTTCTGTCTGTCAGATCTATTCATTGCTCTTTCTTCTTTTTCTGTCTTTTCTGCCATTTGGACTAACTGTTGTCTATGACTCCATCTTACCTCCTTAGTTGGCCTAGCAGCAGGCTTCTTTATTAAGGGAGGTTTAGGGTCTGTAGTATGCATCTCTCACAGCCACAGTCTACCTTCTAATAATACATCCTTACACACTGTTTCCTCTTTCCTAGCCTTTGTGCTATTGTTAATGTAGTTTACTTCTGTGCATATTATAAATTGTTCAATACATTGTTGTTATTTTCCTTTGAACAGTTATATTTTAAAATACTATGAAAGGCAGGGTTTTTTTTTTTTTCCTGAGAGGTTGTGCAAAATTACTGTATTTGCAAAAATGGCACAAAAGTGAAAAGTGACTGCGGCAGTTGATGTCCATGCCCACCCATTCACATCTCCCACAACAGACAGCACCTGACACGCGGTGCCATGGCAGTGCTAGCTCCCCCACAGACACTCAGGCTGGAGTCGCCTACATTAGCCAGAAGGGGCAGGTATTGCCGTTTAAGTTCGAGCACAAAGAGACATCTTTTAGAGCCCCTCTATTTGTTTCAAATATGTGACATTTCTCCAACATGTGGTCTTAAACTTTCATTTTACAAAATCCAAAAGGAAATTATGAAATCAATACACTAGAGGTCTATCAAATACCAGTAACATACAAAGTTAAGATTAAGAAAAACCAAGACCTTAAGATTGTCAAACTTGCCTGCTGCTTGTGGCCCTCCAGCGGGGGTCAAGGGATAGATACGGTTATTTTCAAGTAGATTACGTTAGGCCGCTGTAACACAGCCTGTCATGGGTGCGCTGCTAAAACGGATCAAAAGCTCTGGGCACGCACACTCCCTTTAGGGGCACATCTACCGCTACCTGCAAAGCTGTCACTCTCAAGTGACTTAGTGAATGAAAGGAAATAAAAGTGGAGAAGTAACACATTAAGGAGAAATGACAGGAATTAGAAGATTCATGCAGGTGGCTCTTCTACTCACCAGCTTGCTGGCAGCCAGGGCTCCCGCAGACGGGCGCGGTCACCCTGACCTCTGCCCTGTGGGGCTGCTGCCGGAAGCTGCTTGTTCTTCATTTTGGCCTTAGCCAGGTTATAATCCCCAGGCTCAAAATCTTTTTGCCCTTTCTATAATCATTTCCTTAAGAAATCTGAACGTCCAGGTTTTTGTCCCAGACCAGGATGTCCTGCTTTTCATTTTACTTCTTCAGCTTTTTCTGGACTAGTCACTTTACCTTCCATTTCCCTCCTCTCCCCCTCTGCCCACACCCTGCTCCCTCTTGGCCCAGAAAGAGGGTTTCTGTTTTACCCCTGTGTTTGTCATTCCCAGCATTCTCTCCTTTGCATGAGTCCTGATTGCTACTATTGTTTTTTTTCTTTCTGCCTGAAAGAGGGCCCAGGTGCTCCAAGTCAGAATGGTGTTTTTAAAAATGTTTCTGTGGTCATAGAGAATGAACTAAAGCAGGCAGTCACAAGGTCTGAAGCCATTTCTAAATGCTTAATTATTGCTTTTTAATTTCTTCTTGCTGTCAGGTTGCGGGTCTGTCTTGAACACCAAAGGTGAAGTGGAAATGGATGCCAGCATCATGAATGGGAAGGATCTATCCACAGGAGCTGTGTCCGCTGTCCGCTGCATAGCGAACCCCATCAAACTGGCCCGACTGGTTATGGAGAAGGTGAGGGGGGCATCTTACATTGTTGGGGGGGACCTTTCCTTTCCTGGGGAACTGTTACTTCAGGGCCTGCAAAGGGGCCTGACCATAGGGAAATACTTGCCATCACTGTTCTCAAATGATCCAGAAGAAGAGAAAGGTGTCCTTTATAGCTCTGCCTCTGTGGACAGTGTAACTTGACTAATAGCCTCTTGTTTTCACGTGGCTTCTCATATTTCCTTCAGCCATCACAACCCCCATAACAAATACAAACTGTTCAATGACATGTGTGCATTCAAAATGGATGAAGTTTTCTAAATTTAAGGTCATAGGTGAGTCTCATTTCTAGTCGTCTTCTAGCATTCTGAGGTCTTAGGGAAACACAAAATTCAGACAGCCAGGTTCTCCACCTTTCAGAGAAGCCAGTGTCATGCTGTTTTGAGCTTTTGTGCCCAGAGAGAAGCAGTTGTTCACACACAGTGGAAAAAGTTAAAAAGAGTTTCACTTTTTCAAAAAGCTAACCATTTTCCACTTCGTTCTGGCTGAAGACGCCTCACTGCTTTTTGACCGGCCAAGGTGCAGCGGAATTCGCAGCGCACATGGGGGTTCCAGAGATTCCGGCCGAGCAGCTGATAACAGAGAGAAGCAAGAAACGCCTAGAAAAAGAGAAACATGAGAAAGGGGCTCAGAAACCCGACTGCCGAAAGTAAGTGTCCTCTGGACTGACATTTCGGGGAGTGATTCAAGTGGGAGGGTTTGACAAATGTCTGATGATGTGCATTTCTTAAGTGTTACTTGCTATTTTCTGTTTCTGTGCAAAGTAATAGCAATACTAAATAATGAAAAACTGCTCTTTTGCTTCTTAAATTTATTACTCCTCTGGATAATAGCTCGCATTGGGCTAAGAGCATTCCTTCTCCAACACAACTTAAGAAAAGACTGCTCTGTGTGAATGCATTAATTCCTGGATGTTTCTTACTCAGCAGGTTACAGTTAGTGGTCTGAACAGGCTCGCTAATATCTAGTTTTCCCTCCTGTTTTATTCAGAATGAGAGGTTTTGGCTAGAGCTGTCAGACACAGGAAGTAAAGGGAATCCAAATAGGAAAAAAAGAAATGAAACTATCACTATTTGCAGATGATATATTATATGTAGAAGATCCTAAAGACTCCATCCAAAAATTATTAGAAACAATAAATGACTACAGCAGAGTGGCAGGCCGCAAAAGCAACATACAAAAATCCAAGTGGATCAATGAACAAGAAGCAAACAAAATTAAGAAAATAACTCCATTTATAATTGCTTCAAAAAAGAATTAAATACTTTGGAATCAAGAAAAGAAAAAAAAAAAAGGAAAAGATCTAAAGGATGAGAACCAGAACATCTCATTAAAGGTTTGATCGGACTCAGGGAACTGGAAGGATTCCCCTGCTCGACTCTTGTGAGTCGAGACGTCCATCATCATAACTAAATTGTCTCCACTGGCAACTTATCAACTTTCAGACACATGACAACCATAGCTTTGGGGTATTTTTCACCAATCACTGCTCAGGGAAAGAGGATAGAGCACGCGTGTGGCTTTGGCGTGGGCCGGCTGGTGCCTCAGTGCCCTCCTCCTGCAGCAGGGGCCCGTGGACTCTTCCCTGGCGCGGGAGGGGGACGCCATCCCTTTAATCGCAACTTCCTGATGATAAACAGGTTTGGGCATTTTGCATTTGTGGGTCCTTCTTTCCGGGCATTTGCCTATTTTTGTCCTGTGATCACTTTTGTCTCTCGTGTTGTCCGCTTCTCATCACTCTTCAGGTCATCCTTTCTCTTCAAAAAAAGTTTGCCAATTTTTGGGTTGTCTGGCTTTTTCTTTACTTATGGTTGTGTTGCTGCGGAAGAGTGTTCACTTTTTTCTAAGTAAATATGTCGTCTTCCTCTTCTTGTTTAGTTTATAAAACTAGAAATTTGTGGAGTATCCCCCCACACGAGATAAAATCACCCTGATTTTCTTTCTTTTTTTTTAAGATTTATTTTTACTTATTTATGCATATAAGAACCAGGGTCCAGGCCAGAGGTGCAGGGGTGACAAGATTCACCAGAGACAGAGTGGGGAGCAGAACAGGCCAGTTGACTGAAATACACTGCTGAGGGGAGCAGTGGGCGAGACTGGAGAGGTCTGCTGTGCCCTGTGGGTCAGCTCCCTGGCCAGGGATTGAACTCATGCTACAGTGTCTGGGGAGAGCTCAATAACGCTGAGACTTTAACTCCTGGGCCACCAGGGAGACCCCACCCTGATTTTCCTGATGGACTTCAGCCTTTTTTTCTCTTCTTTTTTTTTTTTTTTTTTCTGTTTATTTTTGGCAGAAACTTAGGAACCGTGGGTGCTGTTGCCTTGGACAGCAAAGGAAACGTGGCCTACGCCACCTCCACCGGGGGCATCACAAATAAAATGGTTGGCCGAGTTGGGGACTCACCATGTGTAGGTAGGCTGGAGGGGGTCCCCTGCCCCTCAGAGCATCAAGTTCTCCCCTTTCTCTTCCTTCATGTCCCCCCTCCTCTTGGAGGGGGGAACTTCAGAGTTTCAGGGAGTAACGGGACGGGCAGGCGTACAGGGCTGTGCAGGGCGGGTGTTTCTATCTGCCTGGCACTGTCTTTCCTCAGTTGCGTTTCTTTTGAGAGGACTTGGAAAGAGAGGAGGAGATGGAGCTAAATTGCCCCCAGACCACCACCCCCCCCCACCATTGCCGCCTCCTCTCTGGCCTTAGTTTCAGGATCTGCAGTCAGCCCCCCATGTCCACAAGTTCTGCACCCACAGATTCCACCAACTGTGGGTCATGAATGTGTGCGTGTAGATGGGGCGGGATGTTGCACCTGCACGGAACGTGTGCGTTTTCCTGTCACTATTCCCCAAGAGGCGCGGTATTATTACTAATGTTAACAGTGCAGCTGCATAAGTCATCTGGGGGCGATTTAGGGTGCACAGGACCTTTGGGTAGGTTCTACACAAATGCTGCGCCATCTTACCTGGAGCATCTGTGAATGCTGGTGTCTTCGAGGGTCCTGGAACCAGTCCCTCGCAGCGGCCAAGGGGCTTCTGTGCACAAAACCTTGTCTTAGGCGCGGGCTCAAATTACTAGACTAGGAAAGCAGAGATTTGTTTGCAGTTACTAGATTTGAGTGGCCCAGAAGTGAGACGCTTTTACAGAAATATCACAACTCAAAACACTCTTTACATTATCTAAATCCTAGGAGTGAGAGAGTGGAGGGTGGTGGGAGAGCAGCCAGACCTGTCTCGCCCTGTGCAGCCTGGGTACAACTGAGTACTTGTGTTTTGGGCAAAGGAGGGGCTGTCCCGGTAGAGCTGCCCCCTGAAGCGGCAGCCCCCTGCCCGAGGCTCGCTCTCTCCATCCTCCTGGTCTTGGGGTGCCCGTGCTCTCTCTTCCCTTTTGCATCCCCGCATGACGGCTACAGGCTTGCCTCTGCATGCTGAGGTTGCACACTCAGGGACTTCGTGTTTACGTGGCACCAGGCTTGGGGTAGGTTTAACTTCCTGACCACTGCTGCTGCGTTCAAGCCAGTCCCCGTTTTTGAGCAGGATCTGGAGGTTATGCTGACAACAACATTGGCGCCATTTCAACAACGGGGCATGGGGAAAGCATCCTGAAGGTGAATCTGGCCAGACTCACCCTCTTCCACGTAGAACAAGGTACGTGGAACCACGTAAAGCTGGGTGGAGACGAGTAGATGGACACTTAGTAAATCAATGAATAAGTATATGAAGCCCTTTCTTGTTTGCGGCGAATATTGCTCGCAGGCTGTTTACACCATTTTTTTAAAGATTTATTTATTTATTTATACAAGAACTGGGGTACAGGCCAGAGGTGCGGGAGGGTGAGAGGACTCACCAGAGGCAGAGTGGGGAACAGAACAGGCAGAGCAACTGAAATACACTGCTGAGGGGAGCAGCGGGTGCGATAGAAGAGGTCTGCCACGCCATGTGGGACCCTCGCCAGCCAGCCAGGATCAAACCGGCGCTGCAGAGGCTACGGACAGCTTCACAGCGCGGCACTCAACCACCTGCGCCACCTGGGGAGGCCCTGTTAACACAATTTTGATGCCTTCCCACCTTCTCTAATGCTCTGGAAGAGGAGAGCATTTCGAATACTGCGTGTCTTTCAAATCAGAAGAAAGGGGGCCCCATAGGGAGACGCTGAGCCTGGGTGTGGGCACAACAGCACCTTACGTGGCCTGGGGCTCGGGCTGCTCTCAGTGCACAGAGGACCCTTTGTGGTGGGACCCTCCCTTCAAGCCTTCAACTAGAAGTCACTTCCCAGAAGTCTCTTGTTAGCTCACTTTGGTTTTTCATCCTGCAAATGATTTCCCATCAGATTCCTTTCAGTTAATTGTGTTGTTTCTCAACCTTCTGTTGTTTCCAGGAAAGACAGTAGACGAGGCCGCTGAGGTGGCGTTGGGCTACATGAAAACGAAGCTCAAAGGCTTGGGGGGCGTCATCTTGGTCGACAAAGCAGGAAACTGGGCAGCCAAGTGGTCCTCTGACTCCATGCCCTGGGCCGCCGCCAAGGACGGCAAGCTGCACTGTGGGGTCAATCAGGATACCAATATCACCGACCTGCCCTAAGCCCTGGAAGACTGTACTCTAGATGCTCGCTTGGAGGTGAAGTACAGTCTCCTGCTGTGGAGACTTAGCCTAATCAATTAGATCTAGAAATGGAAAATCATGCAGTCTGTCACTCGTTTTGTTGCCTGATCAATAAGCATCTGAACATGTTGCTGAGGAGTGAATTCGGAGGTAAAGAGAGAAACGCCTGTATTAAGATCAAAATAAGACTAGGAAAGGTGACGGCTCTGCCGAGCCTTTCTCCTGAGTAGGCCCCAGGGTCTGAGGCTGGAAGGAAGGAGCGACATGACCTAACACAGCAGAAGCTGCCGCAGGGCGAGAAGCACCTTTGGAACTGGGGGGTCCGCAGCAGTGACAGAGCTGTCCACGGAAAGGTGTGGGGAACCCAAGAAGACGGCGCCCCCAGGGCCCAGGGAAGGGACAGGGAGGGAGGGAAAAAGGAGTTCGAGAGTAAGATGGGAGCAGTGGCTAAGACTCCACGGAGCAGCCCTGCGAGATACCGCGGTTCACTGAGTCAGAAGCAGCTCGGGTGAAAGACTGAGGGGAGGAGATGATTTTTCTAAGAAAGCTCCGATCTTCTCTGATGTGCTAATCTAGACGTTTCCACGTGACCTAGCTCCCTGACCTGGGGATGAAATCATAGCTGGGACTGCAGAAAGCTGGGTTTTGACAGGCTCACACCTGAGCCTGCTCACCTGGGCAGTGAGAGTCACTGCCGCAGCCCCTCCGGCCCTCATGGTGAGAAACAGGGCCCCTCCTTCAATGTAGAGAGGACCCCAGGGCCTGATGCATTCTCGTGTGGTCCAGGCCCCCCTGAACTGGGTGTGGTCAGCATGGTAAGAAAGTCATTTCCTTGCCGGAGAGTATTCCTATTAACCTCACTTTGCACTGGAAATGGTGTTTCTGCTGGGACGTACCTGCTCATTTCTTTAGTCTGTCAGGGTTTAACCTTCTCTCTGGAAAGAAATTGCTTAACTTTAAATTCCACGTGCCACTAATAAAATGTATTTTGAAAGATGAACAGTGTGGTTAGGAGTCACTGCTGACAAAGACCAGGATGGACAGAGCGCCCCCTGGTGTCAACTCAGGCACCTGTGAGGAAGACTGTCCAGATGGGGGGGTGTCAGCCTGTCTGTCCAAGGGCTTTTCAGAAGAACTGACTGGCTTAAGGAAGCCCCTGGCCACCATGTGCAAGAATCAGCAGGTTTATGAGCTGGTCTTTTTTTTTTTTTTTAAGATTTTATTTATACAAGAACCGGGGTATAGACCAGACGTGCGGGAGGGTGAGAGGATTCACCAGAGACAGAGTGGGGAGCAGAACAGGCAGACTGATGAAATACACTGCTGAGTGAGGGGAGCAGCGGGCAAGACAGGAGAGGTCTGCTGAGCCATGTGGGTTGCTCCACGGCCTGCGGGAATCGAACCGGCACTGCAGAGGCTGCGGACAGCTTCACAGCGCTGCGCTCAACCGCCTGCACCACCAGGGAGGCCCCCCCCGAGAGCTGGTTCTTGCCTTTTAGATTCACCCAAACAGTCACACCGTCCCAGCTCCAGCCTCAGCTCCTACCTGGCCCTGGCCCCGGCCCCTCCCCACCCCAGCCAGGCTTCGCTGAGAGAGAGAGATGGTACGTGGACAGCTAAGTGGAGCCCGCTCCCCACTGCTATCTGGTGACTCTGGCTAGTTAGCTCTTAAGAATGTTTTACCTATAATTAGGTAAATTACTGTGGAGATTAAATGAAGTTAAAGGAAAGCTACTCAGTTTTATCTTAAGGATTCTTTGGACAAATACAGGAACTGGGTCCAGGCCCAGCAGGGAAGGGGTCTGTGTTTAGTGAAAACTGCAACATACAGAGGCCCTCTGTGGAGCGAGGTGTTTTGTTAGCAGCACAAGCTCTCTAGGGCTGCCAACAGCAGAACCCGGATGGTGGCGAAAATGACCCAAATTCATTTTCTCACAGTCCAGGAGGCTGCAGTCAGCGGGTTTGGCTTCTCCTCAGCTTCTGGCTTGCAGAGGGCAGTCCTCACGTGGGCTTTTAGTTATACATGTCTGTGGCCAAATTTCCTCCTCTGGTCAGGACACCAGATTGAATTAGGGCCACACTAACAGCCGCATTTCAACTTCATCCCCTCTTTAAGAGCCGGTCTCCAAACTCAGTTGCACTTGTTGGGGTCAGGGGAGAGAAGGGGGCACCAGAAGGGGTTAGAGCTTTCGCATGAAATAGAAGGGGTATAACTCAATCCATAACGGGAGACAAAGCTGAACCACATTAGGAGCTGGAAGCAGAGAAACTCTGGAGAAGGGTTAACCAAGCAGAAAAGGGAAAGACGGGGCCTGGGAGTTGTGGGCATGGGTGGAAAGATCTGACTTGGCACTTGGGAGTCCTGCCGCAGCCGAGGAAGCGGCTCTTGTCATGGCTGAGGCTCCCTGGGAGTCGCCTGGCCTCGTGGCCAAGGGAGCATGGTGGCTCGGGGCCTTGGTTCTGCGGGCCCCTTGCCTGGCGCGGGTGTGGGTCTCTGTGCGCTCTGAGGGAGTAAGGGTTCGGAGGGCGCGACCTTTTCGTCCGGTGCCGCAAGAGGGCAGCAAACTCTAACATGTCCGAGGGGGCCAGCCCCGGGGGGAGACGCGTCTCTTGATGGACGCCGCGTGAGAATGAGCTAGTCAGAAAATCTGGAACCAAAAGAGGGTTCTCTTCCTGGCTTCTTTTTCACCTAAATACAGCCTGTTTGAGAGGGGAATTGTCCAAAAACCAAACACTAGCAGACGCAGCACAGAACCCGTCAAAATCCACCCGGGAACGGCCCGGCCGGCAGCCCCGCCGCGCATCCCCGCGCGGCCTCGGTTGCTCCTCCCCGCGCCGGCCGGGCCGCGCTCGCCCAAGTGGGGGGACAGCAGCAGAGACGCCCGAGCCACAGCCCGGCGCCCCGCAGAGGGGCTGGAGAAGCGGCCTGGGGCCGACCTGGGAGCCGGGAACACAAATTTTATTGTCAAATGATGTCCTTCCAGACGTTTTCCTTCAGCCTGAGCGGTCCCAGGAGCCGCCCTTAGCAGCAGCTCGAGGGAGGCCGGGAAACGCCCCGCACAGCGCCGGGCTCCGGGAGGAGCGAGGCCACCCGCGCGCGGCCTTCAGTCTTCGTCACCGCTGTGCCTTGCTGTCGCCGCCCTTGAGCTCTCACAGGGTCTCGCTTGGAAGTTAAACATTCTCGGAGTGTGCACGGATGGAAACCCCACAGCATGTGTGTGGGGCCGGGTCGGCGCTCCCTGCAGTTCCAGGCATCCCCTGGCGGGGGCGCTGCACAAACTGAGGGCTCAGGAGGGTGGACGGGGCAGCTCCTCACTCCCAGCCTTCGCCCTCACCGGAAGTGGACGGCCTTCACCTGGTTCCCAGGGTCAGCAATCGGGGGGCAAGGCAACGCCCGCCACCCCCAGAGCGTGTCCAGCTCAGAAACGTGCAGGTGGCCGCCCCTACCTCTGCACGGGTGTAGGTGGGACCCAGAGAGGGATGGGCCCCGGGCTGAGGGGCAGAGGCAAAGCCAGGGGCACTGGGCAGCGAGGAGGCGGGGGCCTGGAGCACAGGCTGGGGCTCGGGGCATGAGTGTCCAGAGACCAGTTTCCATTTATGGGCAAACCTTTCTACCTCACCAACCTACACACTACACCCTGGCAGAGCTGAGACATCCTCACTGGTCACCGCTCTCTCTTGAGAAGGTAAACCTGGGCAAGGGAGGGGGAAAAGCCCAGAGAAACTGGAGTGGCCCTGTAGGGTAAGGTAAAAAGTATCAGGCTTTTCTGCCCTCCCGCCATCAGGATAGATGACGGAACCCTGCGGTCCTGAATGCGTGCCTGATGGCGGGCGCCTGGAGTAGGGTGTGGGCATATGTAGATGGGATTCACCTGGGCTAAGACTGGGCTTTTAAGGATGGCAGGAGCAGAGAAGCCAAGAGAAGAAGAGAAGCAGAGAGAACACCAGAGAGCCCAGATAGAGTGAGGATTTGCTGGAGGCTGGGAGGCCTGCAAGCCTCCCGGCCCCCAGCACCCCTGCCTGCCATATGCCTGGTAAATCTAAATAAAAAGCCTACAAAACGCACCGAGGACTCTCTAGGACTCCTTCTTTACCTGGTCTGCTGGATCAGAAAACCTGCACTGTGTCCTTCCTGTCCTTACAGGCCCCTACCCCCTTTCCAAGATCATTGAACTGGGACCCAAATCCTGACCCCCAGGTGGTAACAACCCTGCCAAGACCCTGGGGCAGCCCCAGGAGCTGGGGAAAGCCGGGGAAAGCCATTTCCCCACCTTCAGCCTTCAGGTTCTGCTCTCTCCAAATCCCTGTAGGAAGGAAGTGGGCTTTTCGGACAGTGAGGGGTGTGGGCAGGCGTGGACGGGGTGACTGAGGTCAGCTGGGAGCACTTTCCCTTCACCGATCACTCAGAGGTAACTGTGTTCCCTGTGCGGTTATCAGCACTTGCTGGGCATGCGCTGACCTCCGATGGGGTTGGGGTTCTTGGCCACAGTGGGGAACAGAGAAGGGCTGGTTCCTCCCACCCCAAAACTGAGGGTCACTGGCACCCTGGTGTGGGCAGCTCTGGGTCATCCTCTTGCAAGAAAGCAATTTTTTACTAAAAATTAAGATAAAAATAAGCTCTCGATACAATGAAAGGGATACTGTGCACTGTCAGTTGGGAAAATAAAAATTAAAAAATGACAATTATAAAATGAGTGTGAGGAATCATCAACAAAAGGGGGGAGTTAAAAAAAGCTGTGGTGGGCGACTACGCAGTGATACCTGAAAGGGGTACCCCGATGTTACCTCAAAAAGAAAGAAGAGGGAGGGAAGGAGGTTGGTTCAAAACATCCCGTCATCCAATGAACACTATTAACCAGGAACACCTTGCTGTACACTCGGAAGTCCTTTTTGCCAAAATCACACCAAGCATGCTTTTTTAAACTGAGTTTGCAATCCGCCCTTCCAGCTCAAGCTTTACCTCAGGTGTAGCCAATATTCAAATTTCTCCATTTTCTCGAAAACACCCTTGACCTCACAGTGTCCACATCCCGTCCTTTGCCTGGATTGCTAGCTGGACCCCTTTTCTGCAAGGCCTTTTAGCACCTCTGACCAGTTGGATATTTAGGGCCGGATACCTGGCAGGGTCTCACCTTCCCAGTGGGTCCAAATGCATCCTCGTGGGCAAGGGGAGCATCTAGCACCGTTGCCCCGCAGGCCCCTCAAGCAGAAATGGGGACATTCCTGTGGCGGAAGCCCATGCGGGCCCTGGGACTGGCCGGGGCTCCAGGTCTGGAAAGGGGCGTGTGTGTTCTGCCAAAAGCACCAGGCCCCACCCAGGGGTTTGGCAGAGAGTGAGCTGCAGTCGGAAGAGCAGGTGGGGAGTGAGTTCACCCTGTGCAGCCACCAGGAAACGCCTCGCCCCCGCGCCCTTCCCCCTGGGAGCCTTGGCCTCCACCGCTTCCCAGCTCACTTCCCAGCCCCGCCCCGCTTACCCTCACCTTTCCCAGGGCCTGCTGACCTCATGGCCAGCAAGGGCTGCCCCAAGTGCCTCTTGAGCAAAGGGCAGTTTTCATAAGTATTTACAAATCAGCGCAGGTGGGCGCCACTCACGCCAAACTCAGGACTTTTGCCCCGGGGAGGAACAAAGGCTGGGGTTCTCTGGCCCTGAGAACGAGGTTCACTGTCCACCCAGGACCAGGTCCCCAGGGGCTTGAACTCCTGAACTCTCAACGTTCTTTTCAGACACCACACCAAGTGCTTAATCTTTTCAAAAGCACCAAGAACACCAAGGCGAGCTCATTCCTTCCCTTCCGTCAGGGCCCCTCCCTTCCCCCCAGGGCTAGCAAGGCCCGCAGCCTGCTGTGGACAGCATGCTTCCCCGGTGACCTCACCCCGGATCCCGGCCTTGCTGCTGAGCACCCCCAATCTTCCCGCCCATCTCCGTCTTATCTCTGGCTCTTGCAGAAATCACACCCTGGATGCCTCTTGACTTAAAAACCCTGCCGCTGCCCCCAGCCCTTCCTGCCCTCTCTGTC